GGTCGAATCGTGCTTTCATCGACGAACCTTCGGCGCGCAGCTGGAAGTTAGTTTAGAGAAAAAGAGTACGAAGAGAGAGGAAGAGAGAGAGAGAAAGACAGAAAGGTTTCTCGATATCAAGCAGGATTTTACCGCGAAGAAACAGGAACTGGGTGCATCAGCGGCCGTAGCGCGCCGGGATTTCTACCATTATGAGCGTGTCCCGGTTTTTCTAGCTTCGAGGTAGCTTTCGGGGTAGAGAAATAATGATACAGCTAATATAATGTATTGTCCTGCTTTGCCGGGGCACTTCGAAATGAGACCGTCCGCAAGCGTCGGGATAGAAGGAGAAGCAGCGAGAGCGGCGGAGACGGCGCGAGGTAAAAAAGGCGGACGAGGAGAGCGCAATAATGGAGTGGCTTTCGCGAAAAATAACAGTTATATATCCCGTGTATGAGACGGGATTGAGAAGAGCGGAAAAACAGACGAAAAACGGAGAGAAGATTGGACGCTAACAGTTCCGAGCCTCTTCTTTATTCGCCGAAGACGCCGACGCAGCGACTTCTTCCTATTGTTCTCTTTGCGCGCTCTTTATGAATCGCGGAACGCCGGTCGTGATTAAAAAAAGAACGCTTCCTTCGCATGCTTCTTGCGAGAGAATGCCGTTTTTTTTTCTCTCTCTTTTACTGAAAGGGATTTCGTGTCGTCGATTCGTTTAATGCATTTAGCGGATCGGAGGAGTATTAATCGGAAATCGCTTAGCGCGGATGAACACGAGAACCGGAGAAAAGGAGAAAAAGAGAAATGAAGAATATAAAATGCACAGATTTCGCACGTGATCGAAAAAGCGGAGCGCGTGCATTGCGAGAGCGCGACACCGAGGAGGATGAAAGCGGGAGAATCTCGAAGAAGAATGTATAAAGAGAGAAGTATCGCCGAAGAGGAGCTACGGTGAATTTCGGGAGGAAATATTGATAGGCTCAGCTTCGGCTGTGGAGTCACGGTCGAGTAGGCGGCTCTCTACCGAGGTCTATCTTACACGTATACAAACCCGCAGAAGCCCACCGCCCCTCTCGCAAACCACTCACTCACTCTCTCTCTCTCTCTCCTCACTCTCTCTCTCTCTCTCTCTCTCTCTCTCTCTCTGTCTTTCGTTCTCTTGGTGTCGATCCCTTTCTCTCTCCCTCGTCTTAGTCGGAGGAAGTCTCAGGAGCAGATCGATAAGGAGCGAGGTTCGCCCGAGAGCTTTACGCCGGGTTCACAGCCTCCTTCTTCTCGTTTCCTCGACGCAGCCTTCCGACGTCACGCTCTCGCGTGCCTCTCGCGTTCGCCCCCGAAGCCGCAAGCTACGACGGAGTCGATATCAGGGCCAAGGGAAGAAGCCGCCGCTCCCTTGACTTCCTGTTGTTCCGGTCGAGGATTCTCCGTTCGCGCGGCATACTAAAGCCTTGGACAACGCTCGGATGTCGAGCTTTTTGCAGCCTCTTTGCGCGATTTCATTGTGACTCGAGCGTTCTATTTTAATTTGTTAATTTTACTGATTCCGTCGTAATTTTTTACTAATTTTTAATATATCGGCAAATTAAATTTCGAGTACAATAAAGTTCACTTAAGATTTAAGCAGATCTACACGCGCGATCAATCGCGTCCTCGGCTTTAATTCGACGTAATGACCAGCGACGGCGACAACAGTTGGCAGGAAATCTGTCGCGTCGAACCTCGCCGGAATTGTATCAATCTGTCATCGCTCTTTCGCGCCGGTAGCGTCCGCTCCGCTCCTATCGCGCGACTCAATCTCCCGGCGCGAGGCGCAACCGGGCATCGCTTTGCTCTCCATTACTTCCATATCATTTCGCACCCCCGGAATCTGCCGCCGGAGGTGGCGGCACGGGAGCGGTCCGGGCCATATGGCTGACAATTCTCGTGGAGGACGCGAAAAGGCACGCACAGGGACGGCCAATAGGACGACTGCTACTTTCATGCCACTTTCGGCTTTCCGGCCGACGTCACCGGTATCTCCCTGTTCATCTTTCGGTTATTAAATTACATCCCCATAAATAATGCCCTGCCTACCTACCCCCCGACAGAGCTTATTTACTATTCCAGCGACAACACCGCGGGAGGATTCCTCTCCACCTCCGGGAAGCCGTCAAATCGTCGCATTTGTCATTTCGACTCGAGCCCGTTCGCCGAGAAGGGATCGATTTGCCATTTCGTATTCTTGACGGACGAGCAATTCCCGCGACGGATGCCGCATCGGCTGACGTATTGTCTCGACAGTATGAGATCGGAAAACTGCTTTGTCTTGTAAAAATTTCACGATGACGAGATCACCGATCTTGCTTCATTATCAATTTATTATTTTTCAATTTACCATTCGCTTGAAAAAATGTAACAGTACAATCAGTATCAGATTATAAATATCGAACCGAGTATGATTACAAATATCGAACGAAACTGTGTTTGAACGGCGGAGGTAAAAATCAAAGGTCCCTCTGCTGGAAAGAGCGACGGGATGTCGGTGTTTAAGCGAATAGCGGCGCACAC